GTCATGATGTCGAGGCTGTGAGATGGAGCCCCACGTTGGGCTCCACACTTATCATGGAGTCTGCTTGAGATTCTCTCCCTTTCCATCCCCCTCTGCCCCTGCCCCCATGTGCTCTCTCTCAAATAAATAAATAAATAAATAAATAAATAAATAAATAAATAAAATATTTTTTAAAAAGAAGGAATGTATCTCAACATAATGAAAGCCACATGTGCACATCTCACCACTAACATCATCCTCAACAAGGAGAGATTGAAAGCCTATTCTCTAAGATCTGGAAAAACAGTGCCCACTTTCACCAGTTCTATTCAATATGGTACTGGAAAACCTAACGAGGGGATCCCTGGGTGGCTCAGCGGTTTGGCGCCTGCCTTTGGCCCAGGGTGCGATCCTGGAGTCCCGGGATCGAGTCCCACGTCGGGCTCCCGGCATGGAGCCTGCTTCTCCCTCTGCCTGTGTCTCTGCCTCTTTATCTCTCTCTGTGTGTCTATAATAAATAAAAATAAATAGATAAATCTTTTAAAAAAAAAAACTAACGAGAGCAACTGGTCAAGAAAAGTAAATAAAGGGTATCCGAATAGGAAAGAAAGAGGTAAAATTATCTATTTACAGATGGCATGGTTTTATATAGAGAAAACACTAAAGATTCCATGAAAACCTGTTGGAACTAAAGATAAATTCAGTGCATTTGCAGGGTACAGAACAACACACCCAAATCAGTTGTGTTTCTAGATATTGACAATGAACTATCTGACAAAGAAATTTACAAACCACCTGACTTACAATATCATCAAAAAGAATAAAATACTTAGGAATAAATTTAAGAAAGTGAAAGATCTATACACTGAGAACTAGAAAGCACTAATCAAAGAAACTAAAGAAAACAAAAATATGGAAAGATATTCTGTGTTCATGGATTAGAAGAATTCATATTGCTAAAATATTTATACTATCTTACCAATCTATAGATTTAATGCATTTCCTATCAAAATTCCAATGGCATTCTTCATGGAAGTAGAAAAAAAATAGTCCTAAAATTTACATGGAACCACAAAAGACCCTAAATAGCCAAAGCAATCTTGAGAAAAAAAGAACAAAATTAGAGCCATCGCACTTCCTGATTTAGAACTATGTTATAAAACTGTAATAATCAAAGCAGTATGGTACTGCCATAAAGAGAGACATCTATGACAGTGGAATACAGGGCCCGGCAATAAGCCTACACATAATAGGGTCAACTAATCTTTGACAAGGATGCCCAGAATACAAATTTTGGAAAGGAGAGTCTCTTCGGTCAATGGTGTTGGGAAAACTGGGTATCCACCTGTAAAAGAATGAAACTGGATCCTTGTCTTCCAACATTCACAAAAATCAACTCAAAGGATTAAGGACTTAAATGTGATACCTGAAATTGTGAAACACCTAGAAGAAAACATAGGGGAAAATCTCTTTGACATTGGTGGTGACAATGACTTTTTGGAAACAATACCAAAGGCACAAGCAATAAAGTAAAATTTAAAAAGTGGGATACATCAAGCCAAAAAGCTTCTGTACAGAAAAGGAAACAATCAACAAAATGAAAAAAGCCAGCCCATGGAATGTGAGAAAATATTTTTAAACCACATATGCAATAAGGTGTTACTATCCAAAATGTATAAGGATCTCTTAAAACTTAATAGCAAAAATATAAGTAATCCAATTTAAATAGCATTTAAAAAATGGGCAAAGGAGTGAATAGATATTTCTTCACAGAAGACATCTAAATAGCCAACAGGCATATGAAAAGGTGCTCAACAACACTAATCATCAAGGAAATGCAGATCAAAAATCCAATGCAATGTCACCTCACACCTGTTAAAATGGCTATTATCTAAATGATGAGAGATAACAAGTATTAGTGAAGATGTGGATAAAGGAAAGCTTTGTGCTCTGTTAGTGGGAATGTGAATTATTCCAGCCATTAAAATAAAAAGCAGTAGGGAGGTCCCATAAAATAAAAGCATTAAATAAAAATATAATATTAAATAAAAATAAAAAGCAATACATAAAATAAAATAAAAAGCATTAAATAAAAATAAAAAAACAAAAAGCAGTAGGGAGGTCCCATAAAAAATTTGAAGTAGAACTTCCATATGTTCTAGTAATCCCACTATCAGATATCATCAGTAATCTCAATTTTGTATATGCAACAGAAATTAAATTAATATTTCAAAGACATATCTGCACTGTGCTGTTCATTACAGCATTATTCACAATAGCCAAGATATGGCAACAATGTGTCTGCAAAGGATAAAAAAAGAAAAAGCAAAATAAATAAATAAATAAATAAATAAGTAAATAAATAAATAATTAATTAATTTTAAAAAAGCAGTCTATGTATTTACAGTGGAATATTATTCAGTTCCAAAAAAAAAGAAAAAGAAAAAAGGAGATGAACCTGGAGGATGAACCTGGAGGATGTTATACTAAGTGAAATAAACCAGGCAGAAAAAATAATTAATGATCTCACTTATATTTGAAATCTTAAAAAGTCCAAACTCATAGAACCAGAGAACCACCCATTAGATAGGTGATTACCAAGGGCCAAGGGAGTAGCAGAAAGGGAGAGATGTTAGCCAAAGGGTACAAACTTTGAGTTATAATGTCAATAATTTCTGGGGCGCCTGAGTAGCTCAGTCAGTTGAGCACCCAACTCTTGATTTCAGCTCGGGTCATGATCTCAGGGTCGTGAGATCCAGCCCCGTGTTAGGTTCCACACTCAGTGGAGTTCCAATCTCAGGTAGAGTGCTTGAGACTCTCTCCCTCTGCCTCTCTCTAAAATAAATAAATCTTTAAAAAAAAGAGATACCAGTAATTTTTGAGGATCTAATGTTTTGCATGGTAACTATAGTTAATAATATTGCACTATATACAAGAAATTTGCCAAGAGAGTAGATCTTCAATGATTTCACTACACACAAAAACACGGTAACTCTGTGAGGTTTGGGATGTGTTAATTAACTTCATTGTGGTAATTACTTCACATATGTATATTAAATCATCACGTTGTACACCTTAACTATATACGATTTCTTTTAAAGATTTATTTAATCTCACATCCCTGAGATCATTACCTGAACCAAAGTCAAGAGTTGGACGCCCAACCAACTGAGCCACCCAGGTACCCCACTATATACAATTTTTACTTTTCAGTTATACCTCAATAAAGCTGAGAAAACTTAAATAACATGCTTATGATACAAAGCTAATTTATAATGAAACCAGATTTTTTTTCTAGTTTAAATGCTTCATATTGTTTCTAAGTGTTTATATTACATAAGTATCACATACATCTATATTCTGTTTAATCACCTTACTTCACTGACTGAAATAATTTATGACTCCTTAAATTTCCATTTTTAGCAAGTCATACAAATAGAATTTTTTAAAAGATTTTATTTATTCATGACAGACAGAAAGAGAGAGATGCAGAGACACAGGCAGAGGGAGAAACAGGCTCCATGCAGGGAGCCCGACGTGGGACTCGATCCCGCGTCTCCAGGATCACACCCCAGGCCAAAGGTGGTGCTAAACCGCTGAGCCACCAGGGCTGCCCCCAAATAGAATTTGAACATGAGATTAAAACATTTGAAAACCGCCTCATTGTATTTTATTTAATTTTATTTTTCAGGGAATGGGATAGATTTATTTTATTCATTTTTAATCATTTTTACAAATTTCTTTTTTCTTCAAGCATAAACAGTGTTATATTTGTTTCAGGTGTACAATATAGTGATTCAACAATTCAAAACATTTTTCAGTGTTCAAGATAAGTGTACTCTTAAATCCTTTTATCTATTTCACCATTCCCCGCCCCCCCTGCCCCCACCACCTCTACTCTGGTTACCATCAGTTCCTTTTCTTTATTAAGAGTCTGTTTTTTTTGTTAGTTTTTTTTCTTCATTTATTTGTTTCTTCATTTATTTGTTCTTCATTTGTTTCTTCAATTTCATGTGTGAGTGAAATCATATGGTATTTGTCTTTCTCTGTCTTTTTTTTTTTTTGTTAGCATTATACCCTCCAGGTCCATCCCTGTTGTTACACATGGCAATATATATATGTATATATACATATATATTTATATATATTTTCCTATGGATAGACACTTGGATTACTTCTATATCTTGGCTTTTGTAAATAATGCTGCCGTAAACATAGGGGTCCATATATCTTTTTGAATTAGTGTTTTTGTTTTCTTTGGGTAAATACCCAGTGGTGAAATTACTGTATCATACGGTAATTCAATTATTAATTTTTTGAGGAACCTTACTGTTTTCCACAGTGGCTATATCAATTGATCCTCTAATATTATTGTATTACTAACAATTTCCTCCTTTATGTTCTTTGTGTCCTCCTTTATAGTTGCTTTCTGTCTTTAGGTGCTCCCATGTTGGGTGCATAAATATTTATTATTGTTATATCCTCTTTTTGAATTGTTCCCTTCATAATTATGTAGTATCCTTCTTTGTCTCTTGTTACAGTCTTTGTTTTAAGGTCTATTTTGTCCAGTATAAGTATTGCTATACCCCAACTTTTTTTTTCACTTCCATTTGCATGGTAAATGTTTTTTCATCCCTTTCACTTTCAATCCGCATGTGTCTTTTGAAGTGAGTCTTTCGTAGGCAGCATATAGACAGATCTTATTTTTTTATCCATTTAATCACCTTATGTCTTTTGATTGGTGCATTTATTCCACTTACATTCAAAATAGTTATTGATATATACATATTTATTGCCATTTTGTTACTTGTTTTACAGTTGTTTTTGTAGTTCTTTGTTCCTTTCTTCTCTTGCTTTCTTCCCTTGTGGTTTGACGATATGCTTGGATCACATTCTCTTTATTTTTTGTGTATCTATTACAGGTTTTTGATTTGTGGTTACCATTAGGCTCATATATAACATCTTATGCATATAGCAGTCTATATTAGATTGATGGTCACATAAGTTTAAACTCATTCAAAAAAAAACGATGGTTAGATGCCATGAAGTAGATGGCAATGCCTTAACCATATGCATGGTGTCAGTCCTGAGGTGTGAGTCCTCTTTCACTCTTGTCAGGGGGAATGCTAACCTTCTCTCTGTTCATAACACTGAAACCAGATTTTTGACATAGGATTGTTTATTTGGAATCTGACCTCATTTCAGTACCTCACACTAATACTCAGTTACATTGCATGAAGGATATAATAGGAAATAAGGTCAAAAATATAGCAAGCACTTGTGAAAAGACTTAATTTATAAATAATGGTTATAATAATATCGATAATAATAATACCAATCACATTTTAAGAGAAATTGGACATTATCCCTCTTCTAATGATGGAAAACTCTTAAAAAAGATGACATTGAGATTTTTACTTGTAGCCAGGCAACAAAATGTCCCCTAGTGATCTCTGCCTCTTGGTATCCAAACCCTTGTGTATTTCCCAGGATTGGCATGTGTGTCCAATAAAATGTGGCAGAAGTAGAGAAGTAGTGGCATGTCACTTCTGAGATTATGTTATAAAAGACACTATAACTTTGTCTCTCTCTCTCATTACTCACTCTGGGGGAAGTCTTATATCATATAGTAAAAAACTATATGATAATGTCTGTCTCTTGAGGAACCAAAGAATCTTGGCAATATCCATGTCTGTAGGTTTAGCAGTGAATTCTTCAAGCTCAATCAAGTTTTCAGATGACTGTAGCCCTGGTGGGCTTCTGGACTGCCACCTCATGAGAGACCTGAGTCAGAACCTCCCAGCTAAGCTTCTCCCAGATTATTGACATTCAGAAACTGTATGACATGATCAGGTGCTACTTTTGGGGTAATTTGTTATACAGCAATAGATAACTAATACAGATTTGGTGACTGGAAGCAAGGTAATGCTGTAAAATACACCTAAAATATATGGTCGGCTTTGGAAAAATATTAGTGTTTTCCAAGGTTCTGATTTTAGGTCAAATGTTCTTACTCTAGACACTCTTCTCTGCATGATATCATCTACTCTTCTGGATTTAGCTCTAATCTGGGTATGAATGACTCCAAAACCTGTATTTCCAGTGTAGGTATTTCTTCTGAGCTCCATGCTCATATTGCCAACTTCCTACTTAACATTTCTTTTTTTAAAAAATTAAATTAAATTTTTAAATTTTATTTCCTACCTAACATGTCTACCCACATTTCCAATAAGCACCTATAGCTTAACATGGCATTTATTGAATTTATCATTTCTGCTTCCCAAATCAGCTCCTTTTCTTATACACTTTGTTTCAGATGGGGACACCCCATTCTCCTCAGTCACCCATTCTAGAAACCTAGTTATTTTTTCCATTTTCCACACTTAAATTCTTTTCCTGCTGATTTAAACTCTTAATTATTTCCTGGATTTGCACCACTTCTGTATCCTTTCTAAGTAACTCTTCTCTATTTGCTTCTTTCATCTGAATTGTTACAACTGTCACCTAACTAGACTCACTAGCTCCAAGCTTGCCCCTATAAAATCCATTTTCCACACAGTAGCCATTATTATGTTTCTAAATTGCATATATGATCTCTTTATCCTGTATTTAAAATCTTTCAGTGGATATTTATGTACCTCTGGATAAAGTCCAAATTCCTCACTATATTTAAAACAGTTCCTGTGCTCTTGCCCTTAACTATATTCCCAGATTAATTTATTGCTTACCTATCTCTCAGTACACACTTGAATAAAAGTGGTTGTTATATTTCTTCAAGCACAAGATTTTTTTTCCCGTTATGCTCTTGTATATATTTCCTCTGCTTAAAATGCCATTGGCTTACATTTTAGTCTAGTTTACTCCTCTTCTTTTAGCCATAATGTATAATAACCTCCTCTGGGTAACCACTATACATTTCTTTTCCAGGATGGCTTAGGTAGCCCTTCTTGACCCTCCCATAATCTCTGGAGCTATCATGATAACATTTTTATTTTATTAAAATTGTCTGTTTTCATAAATAGCTCCATAACAAGGCTGTACTCCTTAAGGATAGGGCTTATGTCTTAATTATCTTTTATTCCAAATGTGTAATACTGTGACTGGCTCAATATGATTTTATTTCTTGAATACCATCAGGAGTTGACAACTGATTAGAGGTTATAAGCTGAGGGAAATGCTAGGCAAGGGTAAAAGATGATTCAAGAAGAAATGAGAGCCAGTGATTCTTAAACTCTACTGTTGATAAGAATCAACTGGTAAACTTGTTAAAATGCAGATTCCCTAACCTCACCCCTACATATTTCTAATTCCTTAAATCTAAGCTAGGTCTCAGGAATCTGCATTTTTTAAGATTTTATTTATTTATTCATGAGAGACATAGAGAGAGAGAGAGAGAGAGGCAGAGACACAGGCAGAGGGAGAGCAGGCCCCATGCAGGGAGCCCGACGTGGGACTTGATCCCGGGTCTACAGGATCACGCCCTGGGCTGAAGGCAGGCGCTAAACCGCTGAGCCACCCGGGGATCCCAGGAATCTGCATTTTTAGCAAACACCCAAGTCCCTCTGCTGCTGAGGTTTTCTGCCCAATAGTTTAGGAAACATTGGCTTAGAAAATTAAGTTATAAAGTAATTTAATGTTTTCGTAGTTTATCATATATGTCCATTTTTCTTATCTTTTGTTTCAGGTTTTATGGTATATAAATAAACTTTGTTGCATTTAAACACCATTTTATCATTTTAAATATAAAACTAAACCCCACCCTCCACTAAGATTTTCAAAAGCAAGTAAGTTTCAACTCTTCTGTATGTAATATGGGTCTGCAGTTCACAAATAAGTCGTAAAGAAAGGGCTGTCATAAACATTCATGTTTGAATATTAGTCTCTTTGTTGTGCTACCAGCATTAGTTAAAATAGTGAAACTAAATTCCCTTCAAAGAAGGTCAAAACATGCATGGATTTTTTTCAAGCTTAAGTAATCTGTTTCTTGCTGAGATTTTAGGAAATTTAAAAATCATAAAGTACACAGAGACAAGGTCTGCAACAACAACTATTTTAGAGTAATAATTTAGTTGAGAATAAACTAAATTAGTGAGTACTCAAGTGCCTATGTAGTCAAACTAATGTCAATTTTATTTGTATATGGGTAAAGTTAATTTCAAAGATGTGCACGTGTGGATTTTATTACTTCTGTACCTTTTGAAAATAACATGGCCTTAATGTTATTGGATGGAAATGGAATAAAATATGTATTCCAAATTATGCTCAATAAATATTTAGAAGAAATCCTGTCTGCTGAGAAGGAGCAATAATATCCACAAGCAAGGAAATTAATACGTTGCATACTTGCAGTCAAAATGCTTTTAAAATCTTTTTAAAACAGTAACACTAAGGAAAACAGCTAGCTATTTTCAACATTGGCAAGCATGTTGATAGCAACTTTTATTTTAATCCCCAGAATTGGACATTGAACAAACAAAATTGTGGTTATATGCTTTTGGATACTTGGTCTGAAATTAGGATACATTGCTATCACACACTTGTGATTTAGTTATGACTTCAAGTATTGAAAAATCAGGTTTCTTTTTTAACTGATCTTATTAACAACAAAAAATGGATTAGAATATTATTCCACGAAAAATTCAGAATCTTAAATATAATCAAAATTTCTCTTATTGCAAAGGTAAAAACTGTGATACATAGACTAATGGACTGATGACCATAAAAATAAAGGTAAATTAATGTATCATAAATAAATCCAATAACCAAATGCAAAAAGAAAAAGAAAAAAACTAGATGTCTCAAAAAAAACTGAGAAATAAAAATTGTAGGTGAATGAAAAGCTTAGAAAGTATCCACGAAACTGATGTTTTCCAAGGAAAATATGTTACCAAATTGACGTAAAGATAGAAAATCTGAAAAGACCAAAAACATAAAAGAAATTTTTTAAGTGTAAAAATTCCTAAAAGACTCTGGGCTAAGAAAGATTTAACTATGAGTCATTTCATTTCTTCAGAGAATGCTTTCTTATGTTGTTAATGTGTTTCAGAGCATAAAGAAAGGAAATTAACCCAATAAATCCTATGGAGCTAGTATAACACTGAAAAAGATTTTAAGAAAAATATAGTTTAAATTATAGCTGGATCTTATTTATGGTCATGCAAAATAGAGATGCATGAATGAAATATCAATTCTGGCAAGTGGATTTAGCAATATACTGAAATCATGTATTGACCTTGGGAGTATTTATTCAGATTGTAGGAATTGTTCAGTATTTGGAAAATCATCAGTAACACGTGAAAAATAACATCAATATAATTAATACTGAAAAGATATCAAGTTGAAGAAATCTTCTAGTTTGTTGAGTATTTTTATCATGAATCCCAGAGCTAACATCAAACTTAATGGTCAAAGACTAAAAGTTTTCCCTCTAAGTTCAGGAATAAGACAGGGATATCAATTATTCCTCAACCCTACATTGTACTGGAAGTTTCTCCAGGGAAATTTGGCCGTAAAATGAAAGAAAAGTTATCTTATTTGCAAAGGAAGACATGAAACTATCTCTGTTTGAAGATAAGATGACCTGATACTTAAAAAACACTATGTAACACACACACACACACACAGTCTTAGAGTTAATAAGCAAGTTCAACAAAGTTGCAGGGTATAACATCAAAATACAAAACTCAGTGTTATTTCTACACACATTCCTAGAAGAAGAATTGCTAATGTAAATATTATACACATTTTTGCCTTCGGTAGATACTGACAAATCACTTTCCATAGTGGTTATCTCACTTTTCATGGCCATGCATGTTATGTGAAAATGCTGAATTCCATGCACCATACCCAGTGGTGAGGATTTTGTTCTATTACTATTTTAAACTTCCCTCTTCTGACAAGTACCCACCATTTGCTTCGAGGTGGATGGAACTGGAGGGTATTATGCTGAGTGAAATAAGTCAATCGGAGAAGGACAAACATTATATGGTCTCATTCATCTGGGGAATATAAAAAATAGTGAAAGGGAATAAAGGTGAAAGGAGAAAAAATGAGTGGAAAATATCAGAAAGGGAGACAGAACATGAGAGACTCCTAACTCTGGGAAACGAACTTGGGGTGGGGGCCGGTGACTGGGGGACAGACGGGCACTG